CCGAAACCTTTCCGCTCGAGTTACAAAATCGTTTTGAGTGCCTAGAAGACTGCAATGAAGTGAACGATATGAATGATAAGCTCGTGGAAACAGTCCATGCGGTCGGAGACAATTTCTGCAAGACCCGCCGCAGAAGAACACTAAAACTTTTTGATCACATTCTTAATCTTATGGCTGTTTAACAGGAAGTGAACCTGCAGTCTTCAACATATTCAACAGCATACAGGCGACTGAACAGACAGATCTCCAAATGCGTGCGGCAGGACTTACTTTTTTTAACTTCAATACAGCTTGTATTGAAGAAGCGATCGAGCGGAAGCAAGGCTGGAAAGTCTTTCCCAGAGATGTCGGCCAGAAACAGCCAACTGTCAAAGCTGAAGGCCGAGTGTGGCAGCATCGTTTCCGGTACACCTGAGATTTTAAATGAGATTGAAAGGTTCTATGAGCAGCTACACGTCATCGTTAGAGCCAGATGCAAGTGTGAATAACGATCCAAGAGCGAGTCTTATCCGACACTATTCCGATGATATCCCGGAAATAAGTCTGAGCGAGATTAGAATGGCTCCCAGCACCTTAAAGACCGTATGTCCACGGTCAACGATAAAATTACAGCGTAGCTTCTGAAATCAGGTAGAAAGCCGGTACTTGACAGTACTTGAGTCGTTCAGAGGCTCTTTAATTCCATCCTCCATGGTGGGACTACTCCTGAGGCATAGAGCAGATGTGTGGTGGTCTTGTTCTTCAAAACAGGCGACAACGCTCTCTTGAAGAACTACAGACTGATTTCCTTTCTGAGCCGCGTTTACGTGTTGTTTTCGAGAGTCATTACGAATCGTCCCGCACGCAGACTCGACGACTTCCAGCATCTCGAACAAGTCGGTTTTCGATAATCCTTTAGCATCATAGACCACATACCCTCTTTGGCACATTGTACAGAACACAGATGAGTACAATCTGACACTTTTACTTGCGTATGTGGACTATGAGAAAGCTTTCGATTCCGTCAAAATTTGGGCGGTACTACAGCCCCTTCAAAGGTGCCAAATTGACTCTCAGTATATCGAAGTACTGAAGTGTTTGTAGAATAGGGCTACGATGGCTATCCGAGTACAGAATCAGAGTACGAAACCTATCCAACTGCAGAGAGGTGTAAGACAGGGTGAGGTTATATCCCTGAAACTCTTCACCTACATTTTCAAGCTACTGGAATGGAAAGTATACGGTATTAACAACAATGGCTAGTGCATCACTCACCTTCGCTTTTTTTTTGCCTACGATATAATACCTATAGCAGAATCGCTGGAGGACGTAAGCACTATGCTAAATGACCTCAATAGTGTCTCCCAACGAATAGGTCTTAAGATGAACATGGACAAAACAAAGATCATGTTTAATGTCCATGTCACACCTATGCCGGTCGTTGTTGGTTGCACTAAGCTCAAAGTTGTTGACGAGTATGTTTACCTGGGACAAATAGTCCGAATAGGTAAGTCCAACTTGAGTGGTCTCGACTGGAGACGGATTCAACTCGGCTCGGCAGCGTTCGGGAAACAACGACACATCTTCTCGTCAGTTATACTTCAAAACCTGAAAACGAGATTTTACAACCAGTGCGTGTTGCCAGTGATGACTGATGGATCTGAGACGTCGTCCTTCACTGCTGGCCATATGTGGACTCTCAATGTCGCTCAGCGAGCTATGGAGAGGGCTATGCTTGGGGTTTCTCTGTATGATAAAATTAGAAATGAGGATATCCGTAGTAGAAACAGAGTGACCGACGTCGTCCAACGGTTTAGTAAGCTGAAGTGGCAATAGGCCGGCCATATAGCACGAAGAACCGACAACCGATGGGGACAAAAGGTTCTCGAGCGGCAGCCTCCTACCGGTAGGTGAAGTGTAGGGCGCCCCCACTAGATTGAGTGACGACCTGGTAAGACATGCAGGAAGTCGATAGCTGCAGGTGGCACAGGACCGTGCTTTATGGCATTCCTTGGGGGAAGCCTATGTTCAGCAGTGGACTTGTGAAGGGCTGTAATGACGATGATGATGATGATGTACCTATCCGAAGCCATAACATGTTTCTGGCATTATCCATAGTCACCTCTCAAGACACCTATAGGACGAAATGGGATGGATAACGCCTTACGCAGCCTGTATACGGCAATATTGTAACTATTTCAATGAATAGAAAGATAAATGTGAAAACTAAAACGATCTTTTTTTGAATGAAATCCTTCTCATTATTTGAGCTAATTAAGTGGATATAGTTGAAAGAATGTACATATTACAAAATCACATTTAATTAACAGAACGTAGCTGCGAAAACATTTGTATCTATCAGTCTGTCATGCTCTTATTCACATGCTGATAATTTGTAGCACAATCGCCCACGCATATCCATTCATTGCAAGTTCTTCCATTTTGTCCTTACCAGTAGTGGTATAAATATATATACTAACCTGTCTACCAAAATACTCAGAAGTTGCAACATGTATTTCATTTACGGCAATAATTCATAGATTTCATATATGTTAGAGACATGCTGCAGCTTTAATATGGAACGGTGTAGGAAAAATGGGTCAGCTCGACCGGGACAGGACTACGCTCTCACAAAATAGAGAGAAAGAATCGAAGACCTCTACTAGAATCGAGGCATTCCATCGTAGTCCTCAGGATTGACAACGAATCTGTATTTTGCTTCTTATTCGGTTAAAGACGTATATGACTATGGGCCACAACATCCTCCTACCACCAGGTCTGTTTGCTCGTTTGTCATTCATTGATTTGCACTACGACCATTTGACTACTGTTGGTTTTTAAATTACTTTCCTTTATATTATTGTCCCATTTTATCAATTTCAATTAAATCTAGTCGTCCCTTTTAGAGTGGTGTGACACTCGTCTAAATACATACTTTCCCGTAAATAACACAAAGATTCAAGTAATATTCTTCGTATTCGTGAGGTGTAAACAATCCGAAATAACCGGCCAAGTGCGAGTCGAACTCACACATGAAGGGTTCCGTACCATGGTAAAAAAGGTATTTAGAGGGAGAGCTCCCTTTCATTTTTCATTTATTTTTATTTTTATTTCCCGTTGGTTACCTTTTGTGTACGGAACCCTAAAAGGTTTCCCCATTACCCCTCTACTCGGCATGGATTGGTGATTGCAATACCACAACTCTAACGGTTTTGATTCTGCTTACCCAGGCTAGTTAGGGCTACTCGTGAAATTATTTTTGCATGTTTATCATCCATGAAAAATTTAAGCCAAGAATGTCACTTATTAGCACATTCATAAGTCGACATTAGGTGGCTTTTAGAATGTTATAATTTAAACATTCTTTCATTTTATTAAAGCAAATCAGTCATAGATCTACGTAACTATGAACTACGTAATAAAGCGGTATTTGCGTACATTGACATTATTGTTCACATTACAAAAAATGTGAAATACCTAATGACGTGTCATTATACCACAAAGTGTTTTTAGTTCTGCAACCACATAATAGTCCTGTAATTGAACAATATCATATTTTGACAACTGAACGCAATTAGACGTCAGTATACGTACATGCAACACTTTTTACGATGCTATAGTCATTTATATCCTTTGTAATTGTGAAACGAATAATGCATGCGATAATTGTTTTACTTAATTTAAAAACCAGAAAGACTTTTAAAAGTTACAACAAAACCATAGTTAAACAATAAATACAGTATCAAAACGAATGAAATATACTTGTAAATATTCCCTTGGTTGTAATAAATGTCAATTAGTACAACAGTAGCCTAGTGTTAGGGTGAGGACCGTGAACTCTAAGATCGTGGCTTCGAATCTACTATTCAACTACTGTTGTGCTCCACTCACATTCAATGCTTTGTAAACGGGAATATTGGTAGTGTTATTAGCATTACTAGTATTTTTATTTAACATACCTAGTGAAGCATGCTTTTACAAAACTACATAAGTAAATAAACTTATTTTTGGGTAAGCGAGGAAATGTATACCAAAACTGTGTAGACTCTAACAACCGGCTGATAGCAAAACTCTACCCATAAAACGCTAAACCCAATTTTCACAGGCAGGTGATAGAGGCAGCATTACCATTGCAAAAGAAAATTTGCTTTTAGTCGCCTGGATTTGAACAATATTAGTGTTGAAGTTGTCAGTCGATCCCATTTTAGCTAACGAGATCACTAAAATAGAACTTTACGTGGTAGAGCCATGCTGCAGCTATATTAATAGTATAGTTGTAGCAAGAATGGGTCGGCTCGACCGGGGAAGGACCACGCTCTCACAGAATACCAGCGTCAAATAGCAGCTTAATGCTGCTGTGTTTCGTATGGTGAGTGTAGAGAACCGGAGACCCATTTTACTGGAAAAGAGGCATTCTATCTTAGTCCTCAAGGCTGACAACGCATCTGCATTTTAATTCACAAACGAGGATAGATGCAGATGTCTATGGGCCACAGCAACCACTTACCATCAGGTTGGACTGTGTGCTCGTTTGTCACCCTAATTCTATAAAAAAAATGCAAGAGCCGATGGCTGAAATTCGTATAAAGTATAAAGAAAGTATAAAGATATGCGCAGTACGTTATTTTTTTATTGTTTCTTATTTCTTGTTTAAAAACGTTATCTTTTGCCCACACTATGACATTCTCCTATTCCATGGAGGCAGTTTACACACATAAATAGCACAAGGAAAAAACATCCAGATCCGCTACATTATTTGTATACCATACAAATACTTGTTCCGAGTTGGATTCGAACCCGTAGCTCTCAACGTCACAACTCAATAATGCTAAGACATTGCACTTCGGAACCGGAATCAAATGTACTTTTTTTTTATTAAACTTTGTTTTTAGAGGAAGTTAAATGAGTCAAAATAATAAAATCGCTTCTCCATACAATAGACTTAAACGACGCTTCTTAAAAAATTGCACTGTAATAAAGCTTTAATATTATTATAATTATTAATGCACCGATTAACTTACTTCATCATTGACCATTTCCTCAAGTCGCTGCCTTGGATTCTTGCCCTTCTTTGCGCGTACAAGAAGTATTATTTTTCCAATATCGTGACACTTTCTGTAACATTTTGAAAATTTTACATGCAATTTTTATATAAAAACGCGTATTTTAATATTGTGTAGCACTTACAAATATAGGAACTCAAATATATTATTTATGTATACCTAAAATATTTTATACGTCATAGCTGTATTATAGCGACAGAATAAATAGATCGGCTCGACTGAGAGAATCATCTCACCGGCTGGACACTCACCCAGAATACCGCTGTATTGTTTCATATAGTAAGTGTAACAAGGTATTATCTCATATACTCATCTTAATAAAGAATCAATTTTGGTGTCTATGGACCAAAACATCGATCGAGGATTTATAACATTATAATTTGGTAAGATTTAGCTTCCCTATCTCTGCCTACCTATTTCCAGTATGAAGAGTATAAAATTATAGATTGTGAGGTATATCACCTTGCTTTTTTTTGAAGTTGGTTGCAAATATCCACGAGCTACAGCAGTCACTTAACTTTTCTGTCTTCATCATCATCATTACGGCCCTTCACAAGTCCACTGCTGAACATAGGCCTCCCCCAAGGAATGCCACAAAGCACGGTCCTGAGGCACCTGCATCCATCGACTTCCTGCATATCTTACCAGGTCGTCACTCCATTTAGTGGGGGGACGCCCAACACTTCGCCTGCCGGTACGAGGCTGCCACTCGAGAACCTTTCTTCCCCATCGGTTGTCGGTTCTTCGAGCTATATGGCCAGCCCATTGCCACTTCAGCTTACTAATCCGTTGGGCTATGTCGGTCACTCTGGTTCTACTGCGGATATCCTCATTTCTGAGTTTATCACGCAGAGAAACTCCGAGCATAGCCCTCTCCATAGCTCGCTGAGCAACCTTGAGCTTCCACATCCGGCCAGCAGTGAAGGACCACGTCTCCGTTACGTTCCGTAAGTCGCACGCACTGTCTTATATTATAAAAGATATAGATAAAAAAATTTAACTCACCTCAGTAACTTCTCCACTAAGACCTTGCCCATGAACCCAGTTCCTCCGGTGATAAAAATGTTCATACCGCTGAATGTCTCAGCGATGCGGTCGGGCATGGCATCCACTTCGTTCTCCGTAAAGCCTTCTGACGACATTGTGAAGGCTGTGAAATAAATACACCATATTAATATCACACGTAACAAAAACATGAATATTACGTTAATATCTAATTGTTTGAATTGAACCCAGGCAAATTAAGGCATAGTAGGTTAGCTCTTTTATCTATTCGTCCGTCTGGGCACTATACTTTTACATATTTGTGTTGCTAATTTGTTCTACTGATTTTGTGATTTGATTGAAAGAATATTGCATTTTATTTTATTCCTCCTATGTGTAGTCTACAACCATATCAACAAATAGGCTACATTATCTAAATACCCAGTTATCTACGATATATTATTGAGAGAATATATCGTATCGATTATAAAAATAAAGTAATACTTAATTACCTTATTTTTTCTACGGGTCCATTATTTACAAAAAATATTTCTTTACTAAATTGACAATGGAGGAGCTCAGTACTCTATAATCGTTTTTTTTTCTTTTTTTTTTACACATTAAGGGTGACAAACGAGCACACAGTCCACCTGATGGTAAGTGGCTGCTGTGGCCCATAGACATCTACATCTATCTTCGATTAAGAATCAAAAAGCAGATGCGTTGTCAATGCCTCGTTTCCAGTAAAAAGGGTCTCCGGTTCTCTACACTCACCATACGAAACACAGCAGCGTTAAGCTGCTATTTTACGCTGCTATTCTGTGAGAGCGTGGTCCTTCCCCGGTCGAGCCGACCCATTCGTGCTACAACTATACTATTAATATAGCTGCAGCATGGCTCTACCACGTAAAAAATCGTCTCGTTGCACAATTACGTGTTTGTCCGTACATCTGTCACAGACAATTTTCCCAGAGAGTATTTCACGTAGATGATTGAAATTTGAAATTGTTATAAAGTGGCGCTTACCAACAATAGATACTTCAAGTTATAAAATTGAAATCTCCCCGAGAAATAACTCAGATTTCGTTATAGATGTTTAGATTGTCTTGAATGACTTGGAACACATATTCTACAAAACACACGTTTGACTAATTTAACCAGCAATATTAATTATTAAAATTTAATAATGCTCAAAAATTAAGGCAAAAAACAGAAAATTAATTAAGATACAAGTATCGGCAAGTGAACGGTGCTACCCATTTGTGTTGATTGTTTCTTAATAAGTAAGAATAAATTGTAGAATAACAATACTTGTAATTTGACACTAACTATATTGAAAGACGAAACAATGCAGAATAAAGGTTAAGCACGTACAAGTGGCGCAACAAACTACTGCTTAATGGATTTGTTATTTGAAAAGTGTTTCTGTTATTCTTATTGTGAACCGTGTAGTGGCAAACTACCACCCAATATGATCCCATAGGTATCTAAAGAGGCGACAGACGAAAATTGAAACAGGTTATGGGCAGCAGCGTCTTCCTGATAACAAGTCAAAATAATAAAAAACTGCAGTTGACAACCCGCTCGCCAATCGGGTCAACTATGGCAAAATCCCCCCTATGAGTCAAACTATAGGGGAGGTATGTGTGCAGCAATGGACTTTTATAGGCTGTGATGAAAGTAATGGAAACCGTTCTTTGTGGTATTACTTACCACACTCTAGTTTATACGTGGTAGAGCCATGCTGCAGCTATATTAGTAGTATAGTTGTAGCACAAATGGGTCGGCTCGACCGGGGAAGGACCACGCTCTCACAGAATACCAGCGTCAAATAGCAGCTTACCACTGCTGTGTTTCGTATGGTGAGTGCAGAGAACCGGAGACCCCTTATTACTGGAAACGAGGCATTCCATCTTTGTCCTCACGGGTGGCAACGCATCAGCATTTTGATTCGCAAACGAGGATAAATGTAGATGTCTATGGGTCACAGCAACCACTTACCATCAGGTGGACTGTGTGCTCGTTTGGCACCCTATACTATAAAAATAAAAAAAAAATAAAAAAAACACTCAAATCAAAATTAATGCATCACTAAGCTATTCTACAGTTATTCGTTTTATAATTTATTGATACTTTGTTTACATTATTGATATATCAAATATCTGATGAAAACACACTTTTATTTATTTTAATCGTAATTGAAATAGTTTTAGTTAAAAATAAATAACAGTATTTTGTTATATTGCTTCCAGTTTTTTTTTCCTATCAATTATTAAAGTTACAATAACTTTTAAAAGCAATTAATATTTATCATTAAAAAAAGCAATAAAATTAATTATGGAAACGATATAGGGATAGGGAGATAGGGATTTTGACCTGGAGGTAAACGGTAAAATAGCCAATGTTGGTTTTCCTCCAGGCCCCATAATATTATGTATGACATTAATGTTGTTTTTTTATGTCAAATTTCAATTATTTATTTTCGGATTCTTGTTTTAATACAAGAGTATCAGCTATTGAATGATTTTCTTTTTTTTTTTGACTTTTTTGATTTCTGAATAATTGCTAAGAAATCCCGTGTAGTGGTGGGTAAGAATACCCCCTACCCTATATCTTCCCGTGGATGTCGTAAGAGGCGACAGAAGGAAACTGAGGCAAAGGATGGGCAGCAGCATCTTTCTGATAACAGCGAATTACAATAAAAAAAAACTGTGGTTGCCACCCCAAACCATACGCGGCAACTATGGCAACCATGACGAGAGTTACAAAAAGATGGCCCCCAGTCCCCGGCAGCCCCGCTATTCCTGGCTATGGTGGCGACCATGGTAGCGGCGGGGCTGGCGGGGCTAATTATCTTCGGTGGAGGTTCAGTTTGAACCTAAAACGACTCGACCTGGCAATTTATATCGCACGGACCTTGAGGACTGACGAGAAGATCCTAGAGCTGGAAGAAGAAATAGAAAAGTTGCGTTGGGATATTATAGGATTATCTCAGGTCCGAAGAGACGGACATGGTAATCCTCGAATCCGGCAACTTGTTTTATCACCGGGAGGGCGACCATCTGTCCCACGGAGGTGTCGGATTTATCGCCCACAAGTCTCTCGTTAACAACGTTGTAAAGATTGAGAGTGTGTCGACGAGAGTTGCGTACCTTATACTCAGAATCATCAAATCGTATTCGCTGAAGGTCATACAGGTTTACGCACCAACCTCGGCACATCCCGATGAGGAGGTGGAGGAAATGATATCTCTAGAGCCACCCATTCCTCCAAAACCCACTCACTATACGGTCTTAATGGGAGACTTCAACGCATTACTAGGCACAAGTTAAGGCTGAAAGTAGGGAAATTCTGGATAGGGCAACGGAACTCAAGGGGCCAGCAGCTGGCCAACTTCGTGGAGAAAGAGGGAATCTTTATGATACTCTTTCTTCCGGAAACGGCCCCACAGAAAGTGGACCTGTTCGACAAAAAATGAAGTCATCATTATGACGACCAGACGACAACTGTTCAGTAATGTCTCAGTGATCACGAGAGTGAAAACTAGTAGCGATCACCGAATGGTTAGAAGCACACTGAACCTAAACGTTAAGCTGGAGAGGTTACATGTAATGAAGTCAATGCTTCGTCCACCTCGTGCTCTAATCCAAAGCCCCAAAAACTTTTAGCTCGAGTTACAAAACCGTTTTAAGTGCCTAGAAGATTGCAATGAAAACAATGAAGTGGACGATGTGAATGTAAAGCTGATTCATATTAAATCCAAAAATTAATCATTTGCAGTGTTAATAAAATGTCATCTCTGGCTAGAATTCGAATATAGAATCCGCGGTTTCATAGCTACGCATTATGGTACTAGATCATACGGTGGTCACATAATATGAACATAATATGTAGAGAGCTAATAAAATTAATCAAGACCGTCATGGTCTAATTACTGTAGTTTAAGCGGCATAAAATTTATAATTATAATGATACATAACACAACATGATACGTAATGCTAAACATGAATAAAATTAAATGGTATTTATTATTTTTTTTTCTATTTTTAGACGTAACACATAAAATTTAAAAATAGTTTTGTTATATTTATTTAAAAGTAAAAAAAATTTATGCTTTGTTGATATGATATGCTTATTACGTGCAGTGAATCTGCGGTTTTATTTTTAGTACGGTTGCTATATTAAATATACATATAATTTTATCGTAACCTCTTCTTTTTCAACTCGTAACTAAAACTTAGTGACTATTGCTCTTAGCCGGTAACTGTCGCTGTTGTATATTGATATTTCACGTTGTGTGAAAGATAATTTATCTATAAGTTTAGTTTAGTTGAAAATAAATTAAATATTTTTACCGTGTAATGGGTGTGGAGGAATATCCATATTTCCATCCCGTGGATATCGTGAGAGGTGACATAGGGAAACAAAGTTGAAGATAGGCAGTGACATTTTCTCTAATAAAAACTAAAGCATAAGAAGCTGCGGTTGCCAACTCGCTTGCAACACGTGGTAACTATGGCAAATATCCCCCCTATTGAGCAAACATTATTTAACTATTTTATACATTAATACATAAATTATTGAGGGAACATATTTTAACAAAATTCAACCTTTTTTGTTATCGTAATACTTTTTTAAAATATACATTAAAATAATGTCATTCGAATTGTTTTAAACATACTAAGTACAAGTGTAAACTGTTTTGCTGGCCATACGTCACACAAACTTGGCCTCACTGAAAATTAGCTCCGTGGGCTATCCTTAGCTTGCGTTAAGTAGGATTTCCGACACCGCAGTACAATTACACTCATATCTTTACAAATAAATAAAATTGAAGTGTCTGTCTGTAATGTCAAAATAACTGCATTTTACTAAATGCATATGAAAGTATATGCGGTACCAATAACAAAAAAAACATTTATTTAAATTTTTGTCTGTCTGTCTGTATATCTGTCTGTCTGTCTGTTTGTTCCGGCTAATCTCCGAAACGGCTGGACCAATTTTGACGGGACTTTCACTGGCAGATAGCTGATGTTATAAGGAGTAACTTGGGATACTTTTATTTTAGAAAAAGAATTATGCTTCCGCGCAAAAAAAAATTACAACCCATAAAATCGTAGTAATTTCCACGCGGGGGAATTCGCGAGGAACAGCTAGTCATTACCG